TCACCTTCGGAGCCTAAAAAAGATGTTCCGCCACCTTGATTTCATGATCCCAAAGGACCTCTCGATGATGCTTCATGCCTATGAATGGTGGTGGTTGAATCGAGCTTCTGTTGGACTTGTGACAGACTCCCTGTATGGAGTTATTAGAGATTGGCTGATATATACAGGGATACCCACCGTCTCCCAATTAAGGGTCAAAACACTTCTCAGGTGGTTAAAGCTGTTTAGTCATGGACTGACCCTGGGTAGCTTACAAAGATGTCTAAAAGCTTCCCTTATGGTCACAAACTGCTTGAATTTGAATTGAGTTTGCGGTTGAGGTGGCACTGAGCATCTGTACTGGGTGCTTGATTCTCAATTGGCAGCCCTCAATACTACCTACAGCTTTTTTGAAAGCTGCAGATCCTCCGAGATGTGAAAATCCATCTCCAATGTCCTGCAATTCCTCAAAAGCTGGGAAATGAATTACTTGGGCTCTTTTGCTCACAATAGTACTTGCCACACGGTGAACAATGTCATGGACAGTGGAGCGGGTTTATGTTAAAGGCTCTGGATGCTACCCAATAGGAAGTTGCGCTGGCCAACCAGAACACAAAAACAAGCACTTCAAGCTCAAGGCCCCAGCCATGATCATAATGGTCACAAAGGAATGGGAAGAGATTTGTCAGTGTCAGCCTTGTAAGCCTGTAGTCTGGTCTCACACCACTAAATCCATCAAAGAAAATGGATACGACCGGGATGTGATGATTGATGCAGCAGTACTGGATGTGTTGTGGCTCAATCTAAAAAATTTAAAAAAAACTGTTATAAGATCTCATTAATATATATGCAACCAGTTTCATAATTTTACCCCAAATCATGGAAGAGTTTGATTTTTAAGGGTATATAACCCAAAGTGATTCAAAATGATGGAACAGGTGACATTTTGTACATTTGTAGAGTTAATTTATGTACAACAGGGCTTACAAAATCGCTAGCCCGACGTCCCGAGGCTATTGTGTTTTCTAGTCGTGCTACCAAAATGTATCATTGCCCTGCCCGACGGGCTATCTTGAATAGTGATATAAATCCCTTCCTTAATTCGCTTTGTTCACTCGCTCGTAGGGGTAAAACGGATCATAGTTTATCATTGACACGTGTTTCTAAGTCTTACCAATTTAAACATTCAAGCATTTTAAACCATTCATGCGCATGAAGAATTCAGTTCGGTGCTCGCGCGCCCAGACTCAAAGCGTGCACATACAGAGCGGCGTTTCAGGCAGAGCACGAACACAGAATTGATTCCTCTTTCGCTTGAACGGACACATACACGCAAAATTATCTAAAAATAACTATCTCGGCAAGTAGTTTCATGTTTTAAATGAACGTAAACAGTGGAGAAAGAAATCGCACGTGCATCATTATATTGGATCCGCGCTTTCGGTCTTAAAGGGGCAGCAGCCTATAAATACCTGCTGTTTAAGCGCCACCTGCTGTCAGAGAGTGACATTTGCGTGTCATTCAGCCCGTCTTCGGAACAGGGGAAGGGAAGGAGGGCCAGGTCCACGTGGAAGTGGAGAGACCGGGGACTGAGAGGGCCAGGTCTACGTGGAAGTGGAGAGACTGGGGACTGAAGCAGAGCCGGCAGAGCAGGGCACCCAGGCGAAACTGGCGAAGCAGGAAGCCAGGACAGAGTAAAGAACCAGGATGGAACCGGCGGAGCAGGGAGCCAGGGCGGAGCAGACGGAGCAGGAGCCCACCAGGGCGGAGCAGACGACCACCATAACCAGACAGAAGACCACCACGGCGGAGCAGATGGAGCAGAAGCCCACCACAGCGGGCCAAAGTGATCAGGAACCCATGGCAGGAACTGGAGTCTAGGGAAAACTGAAACACAGGACACAGACAGTGCATTTATGGTCTCAACGGCCGGAACAGGACATGCAGATGATTCTTTAACCAATTGGGCAAGAAGTAACAGCTGTTTTTGCATCCAGTTTGGTTTTCTTTTTTGTTTGCATGTCTTACTATCAGCCATGATTATTCTACTCAGCCTTAATCGAAAGGCTGTTTATATGCATATTCACTATTTTTTTACAAGAAGCATACAGGCTGACAATTACCTGAACATATACATATATATTATATTGTTTAGTTAGTGACACTTAGCCTGCATTTAAAAATTTTATTTGAATGTGACAATTAATTTTTTGTTTTATTTTTAAACCTTTATTTGAATATGGCAACATAACATTGCGCTCTACAATATTTATATGAATAAATCTCTGACAGAGACCCCTCCCCTATCAGCATAGTTAGTAAGCATGCTGACATCATCCATAGCAACAAGGTCAACCCGGCCCTTTCTCTTAGCTTAAGACTTCTCTCTATTCCTTAGTAAAAGTTTGTCTCAGCAGCTTTGTGAATAGGTTTTAAGAGAAAACTCTTAGCTAAAAATTTTACTGCTATTTAGGAGAAATCTTAGTGGTAAGATAAAATGTTTTGTGAATAATACAGACACTGGGACAGCTAGCTTCTCTTTATTCCTTAGTAAAAGTTTGTCTCAGCAGCTTTGTGAATAGGTTTTAAGAGAAAACTCTTAGCTAAAAATTTTACTGCTATTTAGGAGAAATCTTAGTGGTAAGATAAAATGTTTTGTGAATAATACAGACACTGGGACAGCTAGCTTGTGTTTTAACATGAGACTGTTTGATGTGTTTTGTATAAAAGTCATTTAATCTAAAAATTAGCATTATATAAAGATAGAGTATTTGTTCTGTGATAGACAAAAAGTAATTCACGATGTTAGTAGTAGTATTTAAATATAAACGTTTCTCAGTCATAATTAGAAGAGTTGTTGGTGGAGGTCTGCTTTCTTCAAATGTCATAATGAACCTGGTGTTCCTCACATTCAATACAGTTTTAATCAGATATTAGTGACGCATCTTTCTCAGTTTTTACTGACAATCACGTTCAACATTTCTCATTCGTGGGCCTGTTAGAAAACTGCTTTAAAATGTATTTATTTTTATTAAACACTTTCAATGGATTACAATGAATTTGAATGATGAAACGCCTTCAAAAGATTTAATTACAGGTTCATCATTCGATTATGGTTGACACTATGACATTGTTTTTGGATTACATTAACAAGATATATTTATTATGCTCTCTGGAATACACACTTATTAATTTAATTCATACACACAGAACGTGATACAGAATAAAACAATATGCATGTTGGCTAATTACTCAAACAAGTAATCTAAAGCAGACAACAAAGCATCAAGCTTTCACTATAAGAACAGACAAAAATCACACATGATAAATTTGCTGAACCTTTTTAAGGTTCTAAAAAAAACGTCTCAGGTTACTTATGTAACCATGGTTCCCTGAGTAGGGAACGAGACACTGCGTCCTCTAGGGGTCGCTATGGGGAACGCCTCGTCGTATACATTGAAAAAACACCAACTCACTGGCCGGCGACAGCCATGACGTCACTACCGGTGCGACTATAGTATAAATAGGCGCCGGGAGCACACATCATTCGCTTCTTCGTCTGAAGCTTGCGTCCGCAGCATGGCAAGAAACCTAGAGGAAACAGTGTCTCGTTCCCTACTCAGGGAACCACGGTTACATAAGTAACCTGAGACGTTCCCTTTCATGGGAACTTCGAACTGCATCCTCTAGGGGTTGCTATGGGGAACGGTATACCCACGCCACCATGCTGAGGGGAGTGCAAGCCAGAACCATGGCGAGCACTAAGTACCAACTCTACCATATT